CCTCCTCTTCCTGCTCTTCTTCCTTTTCTCTTTCTCTCTCATTACCTGTTATTCACTAACTTTAATCATCCCGACTTTTTTTTTATCAGACTCTCTGAAGCTGTTCGGAAACCCCCCATCAGCAGTTTTGAATACTGATGTGATAAATTGCATAAATTCTGGTTTTGATAAATGGAGGATGGATCGGTCTTAATAGGAAGAAACATCTGGATGGAGACTTTGATAAATGTGGGGGAACACCACACAGGTACAGAGGAAGTCGGTAGTAAACATGTAAATCTGTAGCTAGCTAACTCTGCACACATTGTAACTATACATTTAATACGTCAGTTAACAATAAGTTAATTTGTAAAGCACATATTAAGGTTCAAGGTTATTTATGTGTCATTGTGCAACAGGATGCAACAAAACAATTTCTTCAAGCTACAAACAAAACATAACAGATAATTCTCAGATTAAAGGAATCATATATAAAATAGATATAAATAAAACTATATATACAGTTATTTATATACACATTTACACCCAGGGAATAATTCTGAAGTGCTTCTTTTGAATTTGCGTTCGGTGGAAGAGGTTTGAACCGAAGCACGAAGCATCATCGATGTAAACACAGTCCGCCTCCTCTTGTCCTGCGCTCTGTCGGCTCTGAACATGGTCCGCCCGTTAAGGATTCGGGATGTTGATGAATCAGGTCTATGTAAAGATGAATCTGAACATTAACCAGGAGCAGCCTTTAGTCCAACCTGAAGCATGGCTTCTGTCCGACTCTCTACCTCTCCTCTTGGGACGACCGCAGCACCGGTTGGACTCATCCGGCCGATCTGGCTCGATGGATCATCTCAAGGTCGGCTTTAAGCCAATCCCCATGCTTCTTTTTCTGATGACTGTAGTCAGTAATACGTGTTTCAAACAAAACGCAGTTTGAAGGAGCTCCCGGCTGCTGCACAGTCTAAATCTTCTGATACAGTTGATTTGAACAATGTTTCAGCAAAAAATCCAAAGAAAAAGAATTAAAGATTAAAATACAAATATAGCAAAGTTTGAAGGACACAAATCAGACTCAAAGTGCTTTTCATAGTGCGTTAGAAACATTTAATACAGCATAGAAGATTAAAATACAAATTATAAATAAACACTTTAGGTGAAGACGTGCGAGATGGATGACAGTGAGTGTTTAACGTTCAGTCTGGTGGAGAACATACAGTAATGAAAGCACAACTTTTTCCATATTTTCCAATTAACTAAACAACACAGTAAAGTTTGTTTTAATGAATTCATGCCAAGAGAGAAATAGTTGCTTATAAATCACCTTTTGTTTTCCTTGTGGCGCCGTGTGGAGATTTAATAATTTTCAGATTCAGAGAGCTCGCGCAGTGAAACCCTCCGAGCTACGAGAGCCCACAGAAATAAATTAACACCTGCTCTAACAACCTTTTGTTTTTAAATGTTTCTGGCTTCATGCCTTCAGAGATTACATACTTCCATACATTTTATAGCATAGTTATTTCAGCATATATCAGATCCATGTTTGCTGGGGCCAACAATTCCCACCATGAGCGAGCACTTGGCGACAGTGGCAAGGAAAAACTTCCTTTTAAGAGGCAGAAACCTAGGACAGACCCCTTTGGCTCTAGGTGGGTGGTCGT